CTATCTATCTATCTATCTATCTATCTATCTATCTATCTATCTATCTACCAACCATCTCACAGTTAAGCTTATTTTTATTTAATTTAGGAATCTGACCCCTGCCATATATTCATTATCCCTATTGTTTAATTAATATAATTAATCCATAAGTTGTGGTCCAATCAATGGCCTTCTTTTTCTTATCAACTGCATATACTCATCTTTTCATAGTATTTTTTAATTTGAGGAGTGGTATCCTTTGCCTTAATGTGAACGAACACTGGGCCCCAGATATCAACAATCAGAAAAACATGGGTCTAAACCAACAAAAACATTTTAAAAAGCTAATTACAGAGTAATTCCCCAAGCAGTCTCTTAAGAAAATATTGCTCTTCTCTGTACTTGTTATAGCTGATTATTGATTTAATTCCTAACTGTGAGCCAATTCAAGTTAAACTATGCTCTTTGCTGATTTCACCCATTCTCTTTCTCTTTATTTGAATTTGGCTTCACAGTATAGTCAAATATAATACACAGATTTGATGAAAGCTGACAGCTAGTAAATCAAATATTATTTTTCTAGTAAACGATAGGCCAGCTCAAACTACTTTAAACTCCCTTTCCCATGGGATGAATTATTTGAACTGGCTGGAGTTTAAGTCAACAGTGTGGAAACTGATTTAGTCAAATGGTTATGAAGAAAGACGTGACGGCACAAATGAGAACTTTGATCATCATCTATGGCAAATTAGATTTTGGGGAACTGGAAGTCCTTCAGAACAATTGGCTCTTATCTACTGAAAAAAAATGTCATAGCAGAGGAACAACTCCTGTTGGAAACACTATGGAGGAGGCTGAGATAAGATTGGATCCTACAATTCTCACTACATAGTTGTAAGGGAAAAGAAGGCTCTCTGAAATTATTGGAACCCTTAAGTAAACACTCTTAGGACTGTGTTGGCCAAAGGCCATGTTAGCAGGAGGGTTAGTGCTGAAAACATAACTGTACTCCCTCGTTCCTGCATCATCTGGATGACTACTTGTCAAGCCTTCCCAGGTAGACCAAACTTGAAAACCAAAGACACACAAGCTAGCGACTTTTTTTATTATGAGGTTATAGTAACAGAATTTTTGCACCTCAATTATAGTAGGTCCAATTTATTGACCATAGCAGCCTTCTCCAATCTGGTGCCTTCCAAATCTTTTGGCAATACAACATCTCATTTCCCAGCAAACATGGAAAACTAGAATTCCATGGGATGGTACAGTACTGGGATTAGTCCCTCTTTGAAGGAGATGGGCAATTTAGAAATGTGATAGATAGATAGATGATAGATAGATAGATAGATAGATAGATAGATAGATAGATAGATAGATAGATGGACGGACAGACAGACAGACAGACAGACAGACAGACAGACAGACAGATGATCAGAATGGTATCAAAATAAAATAGAACTGGAAAAGATCTTGGAGGTCTTCTAATCCAGAACAACATCTCAGAAAAGTGATTGTCCAGTCTCTTCTTTAAAACATCCAGTGATGAAGCACCCAGGATTTCTGGAGGCAAGGTATTCCACTGGTTAATTGTCCTCACTGTTAGAAAGTTTCTCCTCAATTTCAGGTTGCTTCTCCCTTTGGTTATTTTCCATTCGTTGTTTCTTGTCCTGCCCTCTGGTGCTTTGGAAAATAAGTTGACTGCCCCTCTTCTTTGTGGCAGCCTCTCAAGTACTGAAATACTGCTATTATGTCACCCCAATTCTTCTTTTCTTGAGACCAGCCAGATATAGTATATGAAATAGATAGATAGATAGATAGATAGATAGATAGATAGATAGATAGATA